ATGTACACACAGCCGTTCGCGCGCGTGCACACGTGTCATTACAAAACATATTTCAACAATATACATATGTACGTATTCGTAGACGCAGGAAATAGGCCGACGCATATGGGACCGGCAAGCCAGGTGTAAAATTTATTTCCGTCTGTTGTTGGTTTAATCGACGTGGGAGTAATTTGCACCATTAATCATCGCGTAATGATGCGACATTAAAAGAAATAATTCGCTTTTGGATATTAATTAAATGTGCATTGTTTCGTGCAAATTTATTTACGACCGTCGGATTTTAATGATGATTTACCGTCTACTCGGGTGAATCCTAATTGCAGCCGCCAGAAATATTAATTTGCATTTGTAGAAATAGCTTATGAATTTAATTTAAAAATGTTTAGGTATTTCTTGTAATTACTACTCAACTTAAGTACGAAAATGCTTACATTTTATATAATATACTTCAATGAACGATTTGGATTTTATAAAAAAAGTTACACTAGTTTACAGTAAAATATAACTTTGAACTGAACTAGGCATTTTGTTATAGATTTTTAAATGCTGAAAACGATGCCGCAAGTAAAGCAATTTTAGCAAGTCAAATTTCCAAGACAATTGAAGTTTAATGTCTAAAAATAACTTTTTTAAACAATATTTGGCTTGTTTTGTGAAGAATTAAAAAATTTTAATTAAAGGTCACATAAATATATTTATTCCCTATCAAGTACATGTTTTTATTTCACGTGCACGCGCGTGAGTGTATGTATGTATATACAGGGTGGTCCAGAAATAAGTGGCCAAACTTTAGTATCGTATTCTACTGTCCGTAAAATAAAAAAAAATTGTATAAACATAAATCCAGAATTTTTTAAAAATATAAACACTTTGTTTGCGAGATAATATTTTTAAAATTTGTAATTTACTTAAAAAAATTATTAAGAATGAATTCCGTGTGTTTCACAATACAGACGCTGAGCTTCTTTGCAGTTTCTGATAAATTAATAATTTAATATGTGAATTTTTGCATCAAAATAATACGTATAGTGTTTAGCTGAAATTTTAATATACAATATTTGCGGTAAATATCAATTGCGTCAAGATAAAAAAGTTTTTTAGCGAATTTCAAACAGAATCACTTATAGTTATTGGATTAATCGATAATTCTAAACGTTAAATGCTGCGATCCATTGTGAAAAAAAAGTTTAAATTTAAATCGTGGCGCATGATATTTTCGCCTGATGGTCGCGGAAGCCAACCTATAAAATTCACGCTTCGTTTGCATTTTTCGTTTCGGCCTATTTCTTGCGAGATATACGTAGTCAGTAGTGGTAAATCGTAAACGTCGTGTTCCTCCCCGTTCCTATCGCCGTCACTACGAAATCCCAAAAGACGATGTCGAGTCTATTCCAACCACCCCGGACGACGTCGCCGTAATGGCGAATATCTCATTGTGAGATACAATCCCGCATGAGATGCGATGGTGTCTCGTTAATGTGTAATCCGTCGTGAGAAATCGGTCGAATCTTCGCTGTTATGTTCACCTAAATGTACATCACTTTCCGCATACCACTGTTTTATCAGGAAGCAAATAATATGAAGGTGTCGTAATCGTAAGATTTTATCGTAATTGTTAAACAGTCAACAAGTTAACAATGGAAATTATTATTATTTTTAGTTTTCGTTATATTTTATGAATTAAATGAAATTATTTTATTATTCAAATTTTATGTTTCGATTCAAATTATAATTTTATTTAGAAATATTAAATTAAATTTGGAAAAAAATTGATTACTCGTAAATATTAGATATTATCACAAGAATTTTAATTAATTTTTTTACAATAAGAAAACAAGAATTTTAATTAATATTTAAATAAGTTATTAGTTTGATGAGATTTTTATATAATTTTAAATCATGAAAAATATTTATTGTGATTAAATACTTAAAATCTAATTGACGACATTTATTTATAATGATTATTATTTACTTTTTTAACCATTTTATTACATAACCAATATGATAAGTAGGAATAGAATGTAAGCTCTGATTAAAAATATTTAATTTATATATCAATTTTCGTTGGCGCAAAATCATTTACGAAAATCTATTGTGTGCTGTTGGTGCGACAAAACAGAATTCATTTATAATTTTATTACGGCAGTACGCAATGACCAATAGAGTTACATGTTCAGCATTTATTAATCCATCATTATTAATTTAATTGGACAACAAAGCGATTTTATTTTATATAGTACCTTGCACAAGAAATTGAAAATGGCTATGTAGTATAGAATATTTAGTGCAGTTACCTAACAACAGAGCTGAATTCAATTACGCTTAAAAGCCAAAATCAATGTTTTACGCACATTTAGTAAAAAAAGATAAAACCGAAGTAAATATTATGAATGGAAAATATGTGTAAATCTTATGCATATGTATGTATAATTATTAGAGATTTCATGGCGCATTTTTTTTATAACTAAAATTGTTCGTGATATCCATAATATTAAACATATAAATATTACATATGTATACACTGTTTTTAAATGAATTAAAATGATAATATGTTTGGTTTATTTTAGTAAAATTTTGCAATATCACACACGCACATATTAAAAATTTTATTTTTTAATTTATTAAAATGATAATTTTACAAATTAGAAAATGATACTCTAAAATCGAGCTCTTTTATTATCTATGAGGCTAATGGTTATCTATCATTATTTTCTAAATATATTGCTCATTATGAAAATTTGGTATAATATAATTATATTGTATTTCAATAAATAATTTGATATACATGATTACATCTATTTTATAACTGCACTTTTTTATTGTTAAATGCATCAATTTTTTAGCAATACTTTTTTTGTTCTCTTGAAATATTAGGGGAGACCGGGGCTAATTCGACACTTTCGTTTTCTTTGTCGATTTTCAATAAGAAAATAAAAGCTTTTTGCTAAATAAATTGTACTGTTGAAAAGAATGAACCTTTGTCTACAAAATAATGACTGAGTGAAATGAAGTTCATACTGCAACATATAGACCGATTAAAGGGTGTTTTTGTTTAAATTGTAAAGAAATGTTAAATTGTTTTATTTTTTTTAATTATCAGCACACACTTATATTTCCACATCAGATTTTTAATTCGCATGTTTAGACAAATATTATAATAATTGTGCAAGTATAATTGTGAGACGTATACAAAGTGACTTTCTGTGTACGAACACAATAAAATATTTTTAATCGAAAAAAACGGGGCTGAAGGAATGCATTTTATAAACGATCATTTATTATTATAACATTTAAATTCATTCGTAATGAGACATTCCAAACCATTTTTTTTTGCTTTGCAAGATAAATTTTCGCGAGATATGTTATTTTTGCGATTTTTTTTTTTCTCCAACTTTTGTCCATTGTGCATTTACCACCATTTTTCTACTTTTTTTTTTACTTTTTGGCCTTTTTCTTGCTTCCTTTCCTGTCTCTTGTCTTTTTCCTTATCTCTTTCTCTGTTTTTATGCCTTCTCGATAACGATAAAAATATTTCTTATTCATGGTCTATCGCGATCTAACTCAACGCTTCTTATTCCGAGGATTTTTACGGTGCCAGTCTTGCTAAGATTGATGAAACGGCATACTGTCGGTTCGCGAAAATCGATTTTCGAGAAGGACGAGCTCTTGTCTCCGAAATTTACTCGTTCCTTCTTTTTCCTTCCTTTTCTCTCTTTCTCTTTCTACATCTCTCTCCCTTCAGCTTCTATCGTTTTTGGAGGAAACTACACGTCTGCCTTTTCTCGCGGGAAGAGTGCACAAAGGCAGACGAACGATGTGGAAGCAAATTAATCAATCATCTTTCCCGAACGAGTTCCTTCATTGCACGGTCTAATGGAGAACAGTGTTATATACGACCATTTCCAGAAATCGTAGTTACCGAAAAATAAATAAAAAAAAAATCTTTGAAGCAGTAAGGGATTTTTTATATTATAAAATTTGTAAAAGATGAAAAAAGACAAGAAAAGTGATGTTTATTTATATTTTTTATTAAATATTTTGATTGACTGATATTGCACAGGATCGTAAAAACTTTTTTAAAGAGCAACTCAAATCATGGAAAGTATACAGTGCGTGTCAAAAGTCCAGGAACGACTAATTATTTTAGAAAGTATTGGTTTATTGGAAAAATGTTTTAAACAAAAGTTATACAGAGTTTAAAAAGATCTATTTACTGATATTATTAGTTTGACCTTGGGTAATGCCGGCGATACTGTACCTTTCAAGCATCATAACTCAAAAAGTATTTAATGAAAAAATATTTTATTATAGCGTTTAGGAAAGCTTCTCCACACTCAGCTATTAGATTCTAAAATCAAAAGTAGGTGTTCCATTTAAATAAATCAATGTTACTTTGATCTGACATTGGAAACACCACCTAAGGTCACACTGATAGGATCAGTAAATAAATCTTTTTAAAGTTTTGCAACTTTTGTTTGAAACATTTTTCCAATAAATCAATATTTTCTGAGATAATAAGCCGTTCCGAGACTTTGATACATATTATATACATAAGAGATACCTACTCTTTGAGTTGTTCTCCAAAAATTGTTTATAGTCTTGTAATTATTAATCAGATTAGTCGGAGTTGCAATTGTGATACACGCTTACGTTAGATGCTTTCGACGTATTTAAAAGCGATTGTTTGCAATTCACAACGAAACAGCTATATTATACACAATTCCAACTTTCTATAAATAAATATGAATCTTATAATGCGAGATAGTAATTGATTGGTTTTTTTAATACTCCGGGACAAACGCAAAAGCACGCGGGAAACTTTATTATAATCCGTGATGAAAAGAGATTTTGCGCGAGAAAAGGTACTTAATGCGTGGGTTTAATCGCAGCGATGCAATACAATCCGCGAAATAACAAAACGTACGATAAGGACATTACGTGCTGTGCGGGTGTATTAATTTAAAATTCAATTTCACTGGTGTACCTTTTTGTTGCAGGAGATGAGATTCTCTACCGAGACGAGATAGGCAATTTGTTGATCTACAATGTCAGCTCGGCCACATCCAAGATACTGTTGGACTCCAGCAATCCCGTAAGTTTCCTTAAACTTCTGCACGTTATATGAAAGTTCTTGTGGCGGACTTTGCAGTTTGCATAAAATTTAGAAACGCTCGTTCGAGAATTTCTGCCCATAATGAATCTCGGAATTATCAGTTATTTTACTCGAGTTATCATATTCCGCTTATCTTCCTCTGTGCTAATAACCGTAATATTGACATATAAGTTACAAATGAAACAGTAATGATATTAAATTAAAATTTATATTGGATGTATGCTGAAGCGTAAACAAAATATTAATTATAGGTATTAATTAAACAAAGAAAACAATATACAATGTTAATTACACACATCAATATACAATTAGCATAATAACATAAAATATGAAATGTGTCACCGCGTTATCAGAGGTAATCAATTATCGTAGAATGTGTACTCCCAGTACGAGCCAGTTTAGAAGGTGCACATACGCAAATATTTTTGCGCATACGCCCGCATTAACGTATGCACAATTATTGTCGCATTAACGTGCGTGCGATTAAATAGAAATTGCTATATGAACAGTTGGTATGAATTAATTGTTCGCCATCGTGCCTCACTTCCGAAATCGCAGATAACGACCGAAATACATCGTGCAACGAAAGCACTATATACCCACATACGTGTTCCATACTTCGTCTCTACCTCCGCCATTCTCCTCTGATTTTCTCTTTCCCGCTCTAATTCATATTCCTGCCTATAATCAATTAAATCACCCTGTCTACTGCGAATCCTGGAACGAGGGTGCGTATATATATGTAAAAGCGGAAGCCGCGTGGCGGATCGAATGCGAAAGCAGCGAAACGGGCGAAATCGGAAAGAGAGGCTGAAATTATTTCACGATACAGAGGGGAACGAGAGACGTAATGTAATGCGCAATGTCGAGTATGCAGCGGACAAACCACGCGCCCGTGATCGTCGTTATTTCCGCGACACCGCCGCCGAAGAGATCGCTGGAACGGTAATTGCTTGTTATCTTTCACGTTCTGACGCATGCAATCTATCGTCGACGATTCTCATTCGTACGCGCGTTATAGATATCCAGCTGGCTACTGTTGTAAAATGATTCATTACGACATCTGTAATACAATGCCTACCTCAGCGAAATTTAACATTGCGAAATGTCTCCTCGGAAGAAAGTCTAAGTGATGCATATTTACAAAATGTATTGTTACGTGAAATTATTTGTCATACACTTCTAATGTATTACGTTATTACTTGAATTTAATTTTGTACTGTTTGTTTATTGATAATTTGGTATAGAGGTAAATACTTTTTTAACCATTTAAAATTTAAGAAAGACTTTTATTCGCGGAAAGAATGGTTTTATTAAAATATTTAAAAATTTAGCTAGAGATATAGAAAAAAAATAATTTTGTTGGACAATTAAAATGACAATGCTACAAAAAAACATTCTAATAATCAGTTAGAGTGTTCTATATAATTATTTTCATTTATATGGTATAGGATGTCTTGAATTTAAACGGCCAAACTTCGGGAGCGTGTAGGAAATCGATAAACTGAGAAAAAAATCGTTTAGAGATATACTCGTTTTTTCTTTGTTTTGGAGAAAACCGCAAAAATAGATCAAATATAATATTTAACTTCAGAATATTATTTTTTAAAATACTTCAGTAAACCGTTTCTTTCCGTTCTTTCCGTTTATATAAGACAAAAGAAATTGTTGAATAGTTATATTACTTTTTGCATTGTAATAATAATAGTATTGTAGAGCGATTATATTTAATATTCTTATTTAAATAATGGATATATCTTATTCTGACAAAGAAAATATCCATTTTATTCCGTGTATTCTTCTTCAACTGTCATAAATAAAGGATAAGCAGTCTCTCCATATTTTCGAATATGAATCAGGTGTCATCGCCGTAATCAGCAAGACGGGGATGATAAACTGATTCTTTCAATTAGGCAAGCGGCTGGAAGAAGTGCTAAAAAGGAATTGCAACGGCTAACCGGTGCGACATTTTGGAACCTTATTTTTACCGCCGAACTTGCGTCCTTTCTTACCTCTCTCAAGTTAAATGAAGTCTTCCGTATTTGGTGTATTACTTGAAATCTTACGGTACTGTTTCCGCGCAAGTCCTTCTTACAATACCAATGGAGAGCAGCCTTATCGGAGCGTACCTATTCCTTATTAGCCTGAAAGCTATTACGAAGTTTATGACCCATGTACCTTTACTTCCGTATGTATATATATATATATATATGTGTGTGTATGTGTGTGTGTATACACCCATACATATACGTACACACACACGCGCAGGTATTGTGTGTGTATACATATCTCAAGGGTGGTCTTTGAGTGAGTATATTTGGACAATTGCATTCGGCGAACCTACTCGCTGTTTCGATGCAAGTGCATTCCAAGTGAATTATATGATATATAGGAGGTTCACCGATGCAGTTATTCAAAAACTGCCTTTGAGAATTCAGAACTTTCTCTTATACTAACAATAAGCAGAGTATTTAACATTTTTCGACAAACTGTAAAATTTCGTTCTTTTACGTCAATGTGAAAAAATTTTCATATTAAAAAAAATAAGTGTATTTCTCTAATATTTATTATACTTATGATATTGATTATTTAAAAAAAAATGTGATAACAAAGTTTTATCTGCAGCAGTTTTTTTTTTCATTAAAAAAGTACAAACTTTTTTGTATGGTAGTTTAAAGTTGTTTTTTTATTTCACATCCCGTATGAAAATTTTACATGTTAAGAGTAACAAGTTTATTAGGTACGTGTCAAGCTGTCCCAGTAGAATACTTTAATATTAGTTCAGAAAGTTGCTAATAGAATCAGAACTTTTATCACGTAACATGATAAAACTGTCAGCGTCAATTTATCTGTATGCCAATATCATATTTGTTTGTCTTTTTTTATTCTCAAAAATTTATTGAAGATATAAGTGTGTGCATGAAATTATTATAGTTAAAATAACCAAACTTAATGAGGACCGCATCAATTGATATTTAAGAATTAATAAATTAATTTGAATTTGTAATCTGTGTAATTATATGTTCTTTATTGACATATCTTCCTTTTATTATTGTTATTAAAGAACATGTATATTTTTAAGAATATAATACATTCTTAAAAAGAATAAGTTAAAAAGAATTTCTTATTCTATATTTTGGTTTTATCACATGAACAAGCTGTTTTTTTTTTTATAGAAAAATTGTAGCGACCGCTTAAAGTCTGAATTTCAATGTATATTTGTATGTATCCAGGCAACAATGGCATGAAAATACATAAAGACGCGATTTGCTAGGCCCTCATTTATCACGCGAATAAACTTACCATATTAAAGTAATAATGGCAGTTGTCGGCTACCAGTTACTGTATTACGATTGCGACGGGTAAGTGGAATGATTGCTAGTCTGATCGTCCGCCGAGCAACTCGAAACGATTGTCTCATTCGAACGCGCGACTTCGCTTAACGATGGTCATTCCATTAGTCGGGTCGTCGTAGCTCATTCAACAGCCCCGGTGGTCCGTATCGCGCACGTGATCGTGATTTACTCGCCGTGATTTCGACAAACCGTTCCGGATCGTCGCGGCAGCACAAAGCCACTTTTGACGCGGCCGTCGTCTCGCATTTGTAGTCTATTCCATGTTCGTCTCGCTAACGACTCGTTTTATAAGCGCAATATAAGCGACAACCTTTGTCTGCGATTTGCACCGCGTCGGGTAAGCGCGACCTCGCGTTTTTCGGTGCTGATTACTGCGGCTTGACACGCGAGAACAAGAAATTTTCGTACTTTTACGTTCTCCTTATTACTGGAACTATATAGTTACTTGCATCTTTTTTTTTTTTGTCGCGTAACGTTGGCCTGTAAAGATAGCAGCTAAAGCTGCTGTAGCGTAGTTATTTTTAATGAGCAATAATTGCGTTTATTTTAATCCTTAGTTGCTTCGACGAGGCTGCATTAAATTTAAATGCGGTTTGAATTTGACGTTATCTCTTTAGAGCCAAATGTTGCGTATTTTTAACGTTTTTTTAAAATTAAATTATTAAATCGCCTATAAAAGTTTCTGCAATTGTTAGTGCATAAATTATACATTTATAAATTTAATAATAAATTTATAATAATATATTGAATATTAAATCTCGTAGGACCGTACATGTGAACGCACAACCAATAAGCAATAAAAGCTACATAAAATGTCAATTAAATTTTGATGCTCTGTATGTATCTATTAAAGAGATCTTAATATATCAGAAAAATGTAAATAAGTATTTACTGCAGAAAATATTACATCGGGAGTCGAACCCCGATCTCTAATATTTCGTGCGAGCGTCCTAAGCCTTTAGCTTTAGATTTAAGCTTTATCAAAGCGTTAAGGCAACGTTTGTTTCTTAATAATTTGGTATTTGCTTTTTCAGGATTTGCTGTCGAGTTTTGATCACCATTTATCTGCCGATAGGAAATATCTATTGCTCGCTCTCAACTACCAGAAGGTGAGTGTTGCTTTTAAATTTTTGACGAAATGGGATAATGGAAAGCGCCGCGCGTGCATTATCGTCACGTTAGTGTCAAGTAGAAAAATGTAGTTGCGCGACAAAACGCGGGCGCCATGATATATTACTTAATTAAAATTACGAATCTGCGAATCTTTGATGACGTGACGATAATTACTATGCTGACGACGCAGCTTTCCTCCAAAACATATGCATGCAAATGAGGATTACAGCAGCGCAATGTAATTGTCCCCGACTCAACCTTACGAATAGGCAATTTCTGACTTTGCATGTCTGATGCCTAGGTAATAAACTCAACGATAGACTGTGAACTTTGATATTAATATTAACGAAAGGACGTTTTTTTTTTGCATATATAATAACAATTTTCTCTTTTCTAACAAATTGCAAGTTAATTGATGATTCGATTCAACAAGTGTCTCAATGTCGAAAAAAGAAAATTAGACAATGAACTAAAACGTATTCTGAAAATGTTTTACACTATCTTTTTTCTTACGAAATAAATCATTCAATTTTAATATTGACAATTTTTACAAACATATAAAAAGAACGATTTTCTATACGAGTGTATATGAATGTAACTGGAGTATCTAAAAATTTAGCTAGAGAGATACAGATTTAAGAATATGAGTAGGTATGTTGTATCAGAATAAGATTTGCTTTATGTTATATGTAAGCGCGAATGAAGTTCTCGAGAGAGCAAATATAGAACTGCGTGAGGTAATCACGGAAAACAAGCTAGGATCCGGAAGTTAATCGTATTGCCGAACGGAATGACTACGATAAACATTTCATTCTCCCAGCTTGTACCTCCACCTCCGTTCTTCGTCACTCGGTGAACCCGTTCGTCAGATGGTTTGACTGTACGTCGGTAGGAAACCGCTTAAACTTCCAAAGACTAGTAATTATAAGGAGCTTGAGTTGAGATCTCTGAAACTGTGCGCCCACATTCCGAGCGAATGCATTCGGATAAGCTGAAATTAAGGTCAGGTCGCGCGCAGTAGTCAAAGTGGTGCAAAGTTCGTTTAATCCGACAGTACGCAGGATTCGTTTAAAATAATATTTCGAGCATTATCGGAATGAATATACGTGTATTCACTTGCAACGTTCAAATAAAACCCTTTCAGCTTGCGTAATCTCTCTATTGAGAGAAAAATTGATATATTTGAAAAGTTTATATATTTGCTGTAACTGCATAATAAAATAATTATAATTAGGACTTCTATTTTTATAATTATCGCTACACTGTAATATTAGTAATAATAATTATATTATAGCTGTATATATAAAAAGAGAATATGGTTCTCAAAAAATCCACCATGCGTCTTTAAGTTAAAATTAACATTTTATTTTTTACAGTGCAACATTATAGCATCGATAATTATAAAAATGAAGTCCTTAAAGATTTAATTATTTTACCACGCAATCAAAGTTACAAACATCCAATGTGTTTCTCTCACAATCAGTATATACACACAATTAAACACGCAATAATATTACCTCAAAGAAAATGGAAAAAACATTTTATCGCAGAGTTAAAAAATAACTATTAGCAAGCTTATGAACCAGAGCATTCTGGAATACAGTAAATTTTAAAATTATATTAAATACCTTTCTAATATAAAGTTTATAATACAATGTTAATCCTATTTATACATTAAAACGGCCTACGTCGCATGTCTGCATTGCATTTCAAGACTAAGCTGCTAATTTGCTGTCGCCAATGTTTGCATAGGATTTATTTATGTACACTTTTTCAAGGATTTACCTTAAAATCTGCGCGTTTTACAGTGACCTGGCGAATTATTTTGGTATTCAGGTCGCATTTAAAGTCTGCGTGTTTCGCGTGAGGATCGCGGTTATAATAAAATGCGCGAGAAATTTATTGTATAGAAAAAACAATCTCGCTTTTTGTATGATGTAAATAAAGTTAATCTCTACTTGGTCCCCTTTCTTGTTATGTAAAGTAACACGAAATCTACTTTCGAAGTTTCTTTAAAACATCATTTTAAATGGCGCATTAACCGTCTCAGTTATTGTAATAACATCGTGATCAACGCGTATAAAAATGGAGGAAAATATACTAAAATACACGCTCGAATTCCATGCACAAACAGCGTTCCAACGGGCAAAATGCGCGTTTTAATTTTCGTCCATTCGCTCGGCCGGCTCCATTTCATGGATTAGTGTTGTCTGGACTGTGTTCAACGAGGCGCGGCCAAGTTAATTCGACGTGATCATGCGAACACGAAGAAAGAGAAATAGAGATAGTGTGTAGTTTAAACCACGGCGTGAGCACTGTAGCAAACTAAACACCATATAATACCCAACGCGGCTATGCCACGCGGGATTCTACAATTGTACGCGATAGTCCTTGTCTCTCCATTCATCCCTGCATGCGTTCGCTACTTGGACCACGGGAACCATTGCCGCGTCCTGAACGCCACCGCCCATGACCGAGTAACAACCGTCCGTCGTGCACACCGGTCAGTTCAATTGCATACATTACCGTTACCATATCTCCCTTTCGCCCCTCCACCCTCCCCCCCTCCCTTCTCCCTATCCTCCCGCTCTCTCGCCTCGTCGTCCTTTCATCCGCTCCTTTGTATGCGCCGACGTATGCGTGTGCGTATAGCCTCGCTCAGATCTCCAACGGTCCACAGTAGTCGCTGTTACCGGCGCACGCGAAATCCTGAGTTATGTCCCGGACGGACCATCTGGATCTCCGAAGAGGGACTATGCGCCATCCGTAAGCGAGCGCGAGTACGGTAATCGCCCCCCGAGAAATCGCCGGTTTACCTCGTTACCGATTCGCCAATGTTCCCTCGATGTAACGTGATGGAACTTGGTGGATTAGACGCACGTGCACAGTGAATTAGAATGAGATCCTTTATAGAGAAATAGAATTGAGAAAAATCGCTAACCACTGATACACGGAAAGAATGATTTTGCTGAAATATCTAAAAATTTAGTTAAATACAGATATGAAAATAATTTTGTTGCATTATCAAAGTAACTGTATAGGACAATCAAGCTGGTCATTACACTGTCAAATTCATAATGACAAATTATACTCAATTTGTGTTATCTTTAGTTTTATGGGTCACTGCTTCTATTCGATATGCGTATGTTATTAAATTTAACTAAATTATGTGAAATACAAATATATATATTTTTTATAATTTGAAAATATAAAATATTCTCTCTCTCTCTCTCTCTCTCTCTCCTCTGTTAGAAAATTTTTGTTTTTTGAAATGTAAACGCTTTTAATTATTCACTGACGAGTATTTAATGCGATTATTATTACAGCCTCTGCGCACGAGATGTATTTTAACGCTGATGCGAATTAAATAAAAAACAATACGATTGTTTACCGCGTTTCAGTGGGTGATAATTTCACAATAATTTATGACAGTCGAGCAATAAACTTGTAATAATTTAACAGTTTTGGTTTATTGAAATTTATCGAATTTGCGATATTATGATGATTGATATGCGTGAACTAATTAAATTGATCTAATTGGATTCTCTTCACGTAATTATGTAAACTGTCTCCTACAAATTCCCAATGCAATTCGAAATGTAGAATTATAGTCGTTGCAGCGTGTATCGATTAAACTTACCGCGGTACCTAATAGAGGACAGAAAGCGGGCACAATGGGGATTTTTCTCATTTGAAGTAATTAAAAGTTTTTCGTCTACTGATATCTTTCTTCGTTAAAAATTTCATTTTATGAATTTTTCTCCACGTAGCACCGCTATTCCGGATATTAGGAGCGGCATCTGGTGCAGGCTATATCTTTAATACCTTGTGAAATTATGCACTATTAATGTCGCGGAGTTCTCCCGCGATCTTCTGTATACTCCATTTTTATAAATTAAACGCATTACGCTTTACGTGCGAGCGGATGTCGCGTATTATTTTAGAAATTTAGGGGAACCACGGCATGTAGTCCCAAGTAACGCAAGGTATAAGGTTGCACTGGTTTGCTCTTTTTCGTCTTGTTCCTAAAATAAAAGAATATAACTGCATTAATGTTTACAAACTTTCTTCCATCCGCAAAATTTGCGAGCTTGAATAACTTGGATGACTTTTATGCAAAATGCACTACGTAACTTTTATTAATTAAAATTAAGGTATACGCACACGAATAAATTTTCTCTTAGAAAATATAACATTTAGTATCACAAGATTAACCTACAGGATGACTACACGTACCATACTTTTCAACAAAATGAAAAAATTATGAAACAAATTATATATTACAAATTTTTCTATAATATATTGTTCTTGAGAAATTCTTAAAAGTATTATAATACAAAAAGTGCTACTAATTTCATGTAAATAGAACAGCAATTCTAATGTATATACAAAATAATTTTTATTTATTATTATCAAGAAATCGTGTGTGTTGTGTCGATATATTGGGAACAATTTATTTTCGACATTGATTGACGCCATGCTTCCTTTTACTCGCGTCGTTCTTCTTCGCTAATCAATGAAAGTTTACAATTGATTACTGTCTACAAAATTAAATGTGGATTCTTCTAAATTAGAGAGAAGAAATTATATCCGCAATCAACCGTGTCACTTTACATTTTATGTAAAACCGATGTATTCAATTAATTTTTTTAAATCGCGCATCGTGTGTCGATATCGATGTTGCCGATATCCTCCTGTGTGTCTCTCTACATCTCTTGCGTCAACTTTATAACGTCAAACGCCAATGGTATAATCCTATCGCGTTCATGGTGTATTGACCATTAATTAAACAGCATTTCTGCCAAATCTGCTGGATTTATACCTTCTATGATCGAAGAGATTATCCGCGATAACGAGGATGATTCTCCTCGATTGCTCGTCGTGTGTGAATAGAATATGCTGTTTCGATTGTTCAGCGTATCCGTGTATAAAATAAAAGGATATGGTGAGATTATCTTATATCATATTGATGAATGGAACTTTTGCGACACATGTT